AAACCGAATAACAGAACGTGTCTTTTGGGTTTGGTTTTGGTTTAGGAGAAAATTAGAACCAAAATAGTTCGGTTTGCTTAATTTACTATGTTATTACCTAAAATCAACTGTTAAATATTTGATAAAATAAATGGTTAGGTTTTCAGTTTTCTTCATAACTTTGATTTTATAAATCTTCCCACCTAATCTCTCACTTACCGTGCATTATTAACTGATGCTCCTCAAAAGTCAACTCTACAACTATAGAGACATATCATATGTTTTTCGAAGTCTACCTTACAAGTTACATGTCATGCGGAGTATCGATTTCTACAACTTCATAAGTTCGTATATTGATATCATCATCAACCATTAAAGTTCCACTGAGTCGTTGTTGAGTTTTAACCAGAAGACTATTAATGCATCAAATGTTGAATATTGGATACTTTATAATACAGTTGAAATTTATATATATTAAAGGACTACCAAAGTGGAGAGGAATGAGAGCAAAGGTCATTATTTTGCCTGCCATCAAAGCACCTCACTGGGTTTTGTTGCCTTTCTCTCCCAACGAAAAAAAACACAAAACATTATTGATCATTGAGAAATGTGTAAAGATAAGATCTCTCTACATATTTTGTTTCTCAACAAATACAGAGAAAAAACAAACTCTAGTAATAACCTTCATTATAAGAAAGAAAATTTGTTTAATTTCATCACTAAAATGGGATTATGCACCATTCATCACCATTCGTGAAATATTTTTTAATACATTTAAAAGATCGCTGATACCATAACTATCAACTAACTTGTGTTAACTTAATAATGTCATCTTGTGATTGGATTATTCTTTTTATATTGATTTTCACAATATATAATCCTCAACTACCACAAATTTTGCAGAAGTAGATCTATTTTCCCCTTTTGGTAAAAGAGATCAACTTGTGATGACATTATTTATTCCAATAAATACAAAATCAAGAAGAGTCAATTGGAGATGGAATAACAAATAGATACATCGATCATGTATCACAATAAAAATACATGTTTATATACATAGATATTGAACTGAAAATAATTTAGATGAACTAACCAATAATGATAAAACTTCACAAAGAGAAAATTAAACCGAAGCATGAGAAAGAAAGAGAATCAACACNAAGCAGAAGCTCTGTCTCTCTTCTCAACAGATACACAACCTCTTTGTAAATCCTTATAAACCCTAATCTCAGAGTACTCCCTCAGATCCTCTAGACTCACGTACTGTTGCTTCACCATCTTGGACAAGTCCGTACCGGTCTCGTGCACCCATACGTACGGTAGACTCGTGTCGTCATAGTACAACCATCTACGTCCTTCCTGGTCAGACACGTAAGCTCTTTGGATGTTACTATGTCTTAGCCTCTTGGAACGTCCCGGTTTGAGAGTGTGGACTCGTTTTAGGGTCGATCCGACTCGAATCTGGAGCTCCACGGGACGGTCGGAGAAGTTCCAAAAGCGGGTGGAACCGGTGGCGATGGAGCAAGGGAGTAAGTGAGTCCGGTCGCCGCAACCACCGTAGCATTGTCGGAGGAAGAGGAGGAGAAAGCTGAGCCTTGGGAGCTTGTCTTTGATAGACTCTATCATCTCTTTTGTGGACTTCATTTTTGATGTTTTCGTTATATCCATTTTGTTTTTGCTTTGTTGCTTCTGTGTCTACTTTTTATGGCTCACAAGAGTGGGATATTGGATTTTATATATAACTGTGTGCCAAATAATAAATGCAAGGGGGAATATATCAACATTGTTGTACTGA